AAAATCTACCTTACCCTATTGCCTTTTCAAAATCAAAGATGATGATACCTGTGACATTAATACAGTATGAAATGTGTACATCAGCATGTGCCTCCTACAAATAAAGACTTGTTGTTTTTTTGATACACTGTGGTTAAATTCGTAATAATAGCTCCGTAGTCCTGTGGTTTTAGCAGCATTTTTTTTTTTTGGCCGAATTTTATTTTTTTTCGCCCTCTCGCATAATCCATAAAATTAAATCAGTGTGGCCTTAATGCTAATTTTACATAATTATTTTTTGAAATATTTTTCACTTTGTACCAGAATGTTATATTAATTTTTACATCCACAATCAAAACATATTTAACTCTGAGATGCCGTATTTGATTTATATTTGTAACTACTGGTATATTTATCAGATACACTGCCCATACAAAACCCCGCCAACGAGAGATGTTTCAGCTGGTGGGTGATCTTTTGGTTACAAAAAAAAACACTGTCAACTTATTTACGAGTCACAAAGAATATCATAGTGTAGCTATAAAAGTTTCAGAAAAAAATTTGCTGTAAGTATTCTAATTTAGGAGACATTTTTTAAAACATTTCAGTTTATCCTAGTGACTTCAAGTGAGTTAAATTTATGTATTGTAGCGTGAATGGGTTATCACCAGGAAAAGTGGTAACAAAATTGTACTGCAACTCTTACATATCACTTCTGTGTTGTGTTGTATTCGCCATCAAGCGCCATTTAGAAATTTTCATATATATTTGGCTGGCACCATTCTGATTGGTTAATCATTTTGCATCAAGTATTTGTGTGTGACCAAAAACATTCACTTATAATGAAATTAAGTTTAATTTTACTTGCATTTCACAACAAACTGATAGTTGTACACTGGGTAAAGCTCAACGGTTCAGCAACTTGAAAACTACTAAGTTATTTGACTGACATAGCGTGACCTAAGGGTTGAGAATATTCTAGTATTATAACAGAAATACATGCATTGTTGATCTCTTGTGACTTTGTGTATTAATATAAATTTTAACTGTAGTAATTGGATTCTGTATTCCAATAATAGATTTTGACATTTGAGTATTGAGTAAATTATCTCCATTTATAATATCCCAATAATCACTCCAGGTTTGTTCCCACTTGATACAGGCATGTCTTCTTTATAGTGAGTTAGTTCTACTTTTCGAAAATATTTTGTGTTTTTATCATTCATACAGTCACAACATTTGCATATTATTATATCTATGCAAAAACCACTAAGAAATTTTGGAAATATTGAAATTGTAGTACGGTACTTACGATTCAAACTTTTTTGAAAAGTGAAACAGAATTATTAATGAAGAAATATTGAGTCAAAACTCTTGTAGAATGCTTAATAGAATATAGTTTAGCATTGGAGGTATTTTACTAGATGGAAATTGACATATTATTTTTGCTTTTGACCACTGCAGTTGTCTTGGGTAGTTTTAAAATGTACTCCAAATGTCATTAACTCAGAATTGTAGCATGGTGTACCCCGGTAGCTGTGGTTTCACAGCTACACACCACTAACATGAAATACAACCCAAGTTGTAAAATAATCATACAGTACTTTCAACATGGGGCTAACATGCCCAGCAGAATCAGAATCTCTCTCAGTGTTTGGCTGTCTTCTCGCCGAATTTTATCCGAAATTTTTACCAATCGTAGTGTGTTGTTTTGAGGTCACATTGAGGGTTTCATTGTATTTTGCTTTATTCGTAACTCATCTCTGAGTTAATGTACACAATACTGTGTTTCTGTACATGGTACATGTTTATTTTCTTGAGCCACAATTTCTTAATCTGAAATTTCTTGTTATGAGTATATTATAAACTTCCAACAAATTTGTGCATTAGCTTTGACGACTTAGTGCTTGTTTTCTGGAGTGTCAACCTTCAGGCAACAATGTTTCTAATGTGGATAGGATGTTTTGGCTATTATGGTCTGTTTCTTACAGTGTTCACCTTGAAAA